TATTGTTTAATATTTAGCGAAAGCGAGAAAGAGAGTTCTAGTGCAGTCTAGTGCAGGAATAAAAAAAACAGACGTCTTGCTTAATGGAAAATACTAAATTGTGCAAACTTAGCACAACTGACAGTTAAGGTGTGTTATATAAATACACATTAATTGTCAGTTGTGCTAATAATTTTGTCCAAGAAAATATTTTTGGAAGATGTTCTTGACTTTTTCTTGTAATTGTATTTATTTCATTATGTTGATTTCTATAATTTTTAATTATATGTGAAAATAAAAAATTAAGTGTTTTATCAAAATTATTATTTTTCTGCCACTTTCTTTAGAGAAATAGATCATTTCACAGTAGCAACCGCATTATGTCAACGCTTTCGTTTAGCACCGTACATGTTCGAATTTCGTCCTGAGTATAATCAATCTTTGTTTTATCGCGTTGCCCACTTAATCGTCGGAGCATTGAGACATGATTCGAAAATGGATGGATTCTGGATGCTTGCACCCGCATAGATGTCAATCGTTGCATCACAGAGATGTATGCATCGCCATGATTTCGTATCGTAAAGTCATCGTCATTAGAGAGTCCCATTCATTGTCGGCTTACTCGTCTGTATTTAATCGGCTTCGGAATAGAAACGAACAGAAAATTGTTCCGATTCGATAAATTCGGTGGGAACTTGTTACAGGCGTGTGTAAAGAAAACGCTTGCAGCAACGTAATTAATTAAATCCACGTCTGGCGTTTTACTTTGACTTGTTCGGCTATCACCCATAAAATGACATCAACGTTAATAAATCGTATGCGAATAAACATTAGCGGAGAGAGCCTGCAACGTTTATCATATATTTATGGCGCATTACAATCGAATAATATTGTTACAAATGTTACGTCTGAATTTACAGATCGCAATTAAACATTCTGTCCTACCCGTTCGCCCGTCAACCGGCAAATTAATTCGCCGACAGATAACAGAAAGAGGCGTGTGACAAATTGTTAACAAACCGACTAGAAAGTAACGATTTATCGTACGTTTTACGTACCGAGGAACGTCGCGCGAAAGAAACTTGTAGCCGAAAGGTCACTGATTGTCACGTAATTACGATTCATATCAAAATAACAGCTATACTTTGCGTGGAAATTTTTCTATTATTTAATTTTAAGGAAGGAAAGCCCACGCAGGTTTTAATAGCGAAAACAATTCTTTATACCATCAATTCATTTAACAATAAAAGAATAAAAGCCATTCAGGTCATTCTCAGTATTGTTTGCAATTTAAAATTCACAAACAACTCAATCTGAATAACGGTGTCAAATTAATCTCCTCGCGATTTCCTTGCTTTTTATTGCGTAAAATTTTCATATAGTCGAAATGACATGCGAGCGACAAGCAAACGGTGTATCTTTGTACATATTTTATTATTCGTTATTTACATTGAATTATTAATATACATACAGAGGATGACCTAATGATAAGATCGAATTTATTCTTTTGTCATTAAATGAAGTGATGGCATATTGATGGTATTCAAAATTGTTTTTATTATAAGAATCTGCATAGATTTCCATGCTCCTTCTTTAATGATATTGATTTATTCTCAAAGTTTTGTTTATATATATATATTCTTATTTTTTTTTTTTTTTTACTTAATCGATTCCAGTTATCGAGGTGAGGCAAACATTATTTTCGCAATCGCCACTCGTGATCTTCCTGCCGGCATCTTCGCGGCAGTTACCGAGACTATCGAGGGGATTTTTCCGTGGGATATCACGACGACGCCCCGTGTAACCACCTTGCCTTTATGCAAGCGGTGGAAGGTGCTTGTGTGTACTCAGGCTCCCCGTCATATCGCATAAGCCGTGAGGTAGTTTAGTTTGTCGAGAGTTCAGGTACAGGTAATTACCTACTGGCTACCGGCGTCAGGTGGTAGTGACACGGTAGCGTCGACCTCCTCCTCGTTTACCTCCTTCTCTTCTTACTTGCGCGTACCATCTTCTCTTTCCTCTCTCCCCTCTTTCTCTCTCCCTCCTTCTCTCTCTCTCTCTCTCTCTCTCTCTCTTTCGATACTTCGTCCATTCGCACGTACTCACGCAAAAATACCTCATGACGAACAGTTCCATTAGCTTAATGAGACCGTCTCTCCTGTCGATAGATCGACCGTCTTATCTGACAACCTTCATATGCGCAAAGTTCGGGTTTCGCATTAATTATTTGACGCTTTATCCGATATGCTTAAAATCTGGTTAATTTTCCGATGGTTATGAAAGGCCTGAGTTTTCAGTAAGTCGATAATTAATCGCAAAAAGCCATTTATAATCTATAAATCCGATAGTTCGTGTTAGATTAATTATTATACTCGGCTTGTAAACATGTGTTGTCATGTTGGTTTACAGCCTTAGATTGTACGTTTTATGGGATACTTGCGGATCTTTAATTATATGCTAATTATGCGCCCGTATATATAATATAATAAATGTTTCAACCAGTAAAAAGGTTTTTAGCGCGAATTTGTTATGGTAATAACACTTCGAGGATATAACTGTCATTTCGATAATGTCACTGCATTATTGACAGAAAACAATTAAGAGATATGAGTAATAATTATTCCTGAACGGGGTGGAAGAACTTATAAATTATATTTCAAATAATTTTCCATTTCTTTAAATAGCTTTGCTGTACTATTTTCTGATGTTCCTGACATTTTTTAATTTTTGTAATATTTTATTAATTAATAATTGAATTTTGTAACTTTTTCCAATATCTCATTTTTATAATATCTTTATAAAATTTTATATTATTGAAATAAAAGCTTTTTTTTATTAGGCACTATTCGTACACGCTAATTTTATACTAAAAAAATTAAATATCAATAAATATTTGTTTGGACATCATCTTAATTACAAGAATTTTGAAGAATAATATGTATTTTTATTTAATGTTTTATATAAAATTTATCTAAAATAATTTATTTAAAAAATTTTTTTCTAGAACATCCGTAACTCGACACAGGTAGCTCACTGATCAAAACTATTTTATTCTCTTACATCGGTAAATAAACATTTGATACATTTAATAATTGTTTTAATGGTTTTCTTTCAAAGCTATGATTCTACACTACATGATTCTGCAATGAGAAAAAACTAAGATAAAAATATTAAATTTTCTTAGGTGATTGCCATCCCTAATTTTTTGAATTTAACTCTACCACTTCTGAAATAAAAGAGTGACACAATGAATTAAAAATCTCTTTTAAATTAAGATAAAAATTCTACCTTCGCACGCGAGCACGAAACCTGATAATTAATCTACCCACAGGAAAATATTATTTGCTAAGAAAAGTAATTATTTAGTATATTTTCTTTCTTTTAAACAACGTTTATCTTTAACAAAGAATATTTCTTGATAACAATCTTAAAATACATACTCATTACAAATTTTAGGAAAAAACTCATTATTACGTACTCCAAACAAAAATTTATTTTTTTAAAGAGTATATTATGAAATTGATCGAAAAAGCAAATTTATAAATAAGAAATCGAATTTGTGTTTTAATTTAAGAATTGAAGTACTAACTTACTAGGATTCAGAATGAATTTGTTGCTTGTGAATAAATTTTTATTAAATTTGCGGATATGTGGGGACTTTTGAAATATTTAAAACAAGTAATTATTATTTGCATACAGCCTGTATTCTGCTGTGTATTCACAATTGTCTACGATTTCACCGATAACCGGCTCGAACGATCAATAGCGAGTACCACAACGCGAAGGAATTCGCTGAAGGGGTCAGCCTTGCAGAGGATCGTCGCTGTCGATCGAGCCGTGTCACACGAGCTCGGCTGTAACGTTTCGTTATCGGCATACTCGGCATGCTCTCGTCGTTTTCGCCACGCATGCCGCAGGCGTTCCACGAGAGATAACGCCGCGCGCGCACAGAACGGGGACAAGACAAGGTAGATGACACGGCCCGTAATTGCATGTTATCCGTTGCATCCACGCGCGGGCGTGTCCGCGTGCCTGGGCGCACGTGCATATACACCCAACGGTGAGACGCGTGTGCAAGTATGCACGCAAGTATATGTATGTGTACGTTTGTACAGAAGAGTGTTTGCGCTACTGAATCCGGCTGCCCGTTCCACGTGCCCTCGTGCTTGACGTCCCACGGATAGGCGACACAAAGGACGTTTGTGGTGGCGCCGCGCCGTGCTTTTCCGAGCTCGAACGGGTCTCTTTCGTTGTTTCAAATGTAAATAATGTCTGTGTTCCGAAATGCCCATCCGCGGCTTTATCGGATGACCCGTCATTGGAGTCGCGTGGATCAACTTGCAACGAAATAGCCTTTGCCCTCGGTATCGGTCGAAGCATCGCAATTGTATGACAGTTCTTTTTTTATCGGAGAGACGTTGGAAATTTTTTATCTATTGACATCTCCGAAAACTTCAAGAAAGTTTCAATTAAAAACTCGAACAATATTATTTTCTTGGTTTATTAGAAGTTTATACGATTTGTTGTGGATATCATAGTAAATTTATAATTATAATAAGTTAATGAATAGATCTAATTAAATAATAAACGAAATGCTATATTCAGTCCAAACAGATCTCGGTGTTTAAATATTTTGGTATGAATTTATATATATATATAATCAATTCTGCAAATCGCGTATCGAAATCTTTTTCAGTCTTGAAACGTAATTAGAATAAAATTAGTAGTAATGTCCATTATTGAATTGACAAGCAATTTAATAACATTGGTGCTAATAAGCATTTTAATATTAGTTAAAAGAATATTAAAACAATATGTTTAATGAAGATATAATATTTACCATATTTTATGGCAAATTAAGCGGCTTTACAGATAAATAAATATTAAAAATTAGGCATTGTAAATCGATTTGAGCCCACAATATAGTTATCTTCGGATTAATTACAATTATAGTTTCGAGTGTCATTAAGAATATGTTTAAACGCAAGACACTTGAAGGCCAGAACTGATTCTTATTGCAGCATCCTCCGCAACGCGGGAGAAGTCTTCGCGCGAGGAAACGGTCCAGCCTGAGGCGCATTCGCCTTCCTCTCAGCAGCATCAAAGGATCGGTCAGCAGAAGCAAACAAACGGCCCTCGAGCGGAATACAAAGGCGCATCCGGTTGCTCTAGGTCTTCTGATAACGACAGCCCTTTGCCTTCGCAATCGCTCAAGCCTGAGCTTGAGGAGGCTGCTACAGGTACTGCAAATGCTGGGCTCAGGACGACGGACGAGCAGAGCGATGGCGCCGTGTTAGTGAACGGCACTGCCGGTGTGTCCCGATGTGTCAGTGGTATCTTCGCGGGACATGGCAAGCTCAAGAGGTTGCTGGGCACTCTGGTGCAATTTGCCACCGATATCTCAGCAGACACGGGTGATACGGTGCGCACGCTGGTACTCGCGCTTCTGGTAGGTAAACAATGTATCTTTATATATTTGCACTTTTTAAAAGTGAATCAGTGACTTCAATGTAATTATCAGCGAATATTTACTGTTTTTCAGTAATAATACACTGATTCTCTCTCACTTTTTAGAAGTTATGATTTTCTGTAGATTCAGGCTGTGCGTTCCGATTTACTGCCAATATTGAAAAGCTATAGTATACATTATGTGCACTATAGATTTTCAACACTGGCAGTGAATATCGGAATACACTTTCAATCTGCATAAATCATAAATTCTAAAAGTAAATCAGTATTATTATTGTATTATTATTGAAAAACAGTAATATTCGTTCGTGATCAGTTATAAATGTAACACCGAAGACTGAAATCAGTAATAATACACTGATTCACTTTTAGAGAGTAGCAGTTTTATAATAGTTCGTACTTAAAAAAAAAATAGCAATTGAAATTCTTTAGAGTGGAATCTCATTCTAAAGAGGGAAAATTGAGCCAGTCTCTCGACACCAGTCTTGAAAAAGAGATTCAGTTTTCATTTTTTAAGAATGAGAATTTCTCTCTTTAGGTATTCACTCTAAAAGTTGTAGAGTGTAATAAATTTTAATTTAATTAGATAAATTAATTTTCTAAGATACTTTGATAACGCGTTAATATTTTTATATACAAATATTTAATCACACGCACGAATAAAATAATAATGCGTAACACGTATATATAATCGGGATTAGTATTGTTAATTTTGTATTTAACTTTCTATTGATATTCTAATAAACTTTAGCGTGGCACGTTTACATTATATGAACCGTTAGCTTATTAGCAAATAAATCTCTGGTAGCTTATCTCGCATTGCACCACGTAGTTTGCAGATCATCTTCATATAAGACCTTTCTGGATTTACGAATTCTTTTAGTATCAACAATAAAGTAATATACGCGTACCAGCTGACGAAGTTTTCAGCTGCGTGCTGAAATCACGAGATTGCTGTGTATGCGTGATATTGCATCATCGTTAAGTGCATCCGTATAATAAATTATATAGACATTTCTCTCAATAGCAGATATTACTTTACATTATTAAAATAGATTAATGATTTCCTTTCAATTTAACAAGAGGGACAATTATTTACTTAACAATTTATGAAAAATTAGTCATAAAACTTGAAGCTCATAATTTCGTTGTGAAAAAATATACTTTTCAACGACATTTCATCGGTTACATTTTGGCAATGATAACGTCATGAAAATTCGTGGTCCAGTTGTAACTAACAAGCGTCAGATAAACGATTCTGCAATGTGCATGCGTGCATGCGGCACGGGATGAAAAAAAGCATAGTTAATCGATGCCGGCCGTACCGTGTCGTTAAACAGCTCGTAAATATTCAAAGTACGTACATAATGCATAATGTCGTCGTGTGTACCGAGCGTGCATACGTCCCGGAAACGTGACATCTGGTGACCGTGCTTAACTGTAAAACGATCGCGGCACGTGACAAACGCAAAACCAAATCCAACCAAAGCCGCGCGCGCAACTCGTTCCGGAAACGCGTTTCGCTTCGGGATCCGATCTTTTTGTCGACGATTGAATTACACGCGGCGCTCGCCGTGTCGTTAATTGCAGAGCGGCAGCATGACCGCGGAGGAGTTTCATTCGGCGTTACAGGAGGCGACCAACTTTCCACTCAGAAGCTTCGTCTTGCCGTATCTCAAGCACACCCTGCCCTCCCTGCAGAGGGACCTGAGTAACGCGGCCAGGGCGAATAATCAGGTAAAACAATTTTACTATGATTTTTTTACAATCACTTATTCATTCGCAATAAAGAACAGTTTCGAAATGTTGAAATATCTAAAAATTTAGATAGATACATAAAATATGAAAATAATTTTGACAGACCATTAAAGTAATTTTATGTTTATAGTTGCTTTCTATTTACATACAAGCGTAACTAAGTCTGAAGTGAGCTGAGTATTTTATACTCAGATTAATGACGTTACTACTTGCTTACCTTGGTAAAAAGTTATCATAGCAGTGTTCCAAAATTTACTGCCAGCGCTGAAAATCTAGTTTCCCTGGTGAAAATTTTTCTCAAAATTTTTCATATAATTTTTCAGAATTTCTGTATAAATTTTGTAATTTTTTCATCACATTTTTTACACGAATTGGAACACATTTCTCAGAAAATCTACATCTTTTCTCAGAATTTTTATGAAATATCGTAAGATTTCTAATTTTTTGTAAGTATAATATCTGATCAAATCTTATAAAATCTAAAAAATATTAAAAAAAATTTTTTTTTAATTATGGGATGAGAAATTGCAGAATATTTCAGAATTCACTTGTGAATGAACAAATCTGAGAGATGTAAACTTTCCGAATATTTCTGAGTATTTCTGAAAAATGTTCCAATTTGTAAAAAATTCATAAAAATTATGAAAAAAATTTTCACCAGGATTACGTTACGTATACTATACATTTTTAGTATTGACAATGAATTTAGAATACAGTCTACATGTCAGCACTGGTTTATAACTTCACTTTGAAATAAGTTTACGAGACTCACTAAAGCACACCACCTCGATCTTGTGTAGATTATACTATAGGTAAAAACTCAATTGAATTTCATTTGTCAGAATGCAAAAGGAACGCAGATTTAATTGAATTATGACGTTACAAGTGAGAATTATCTGAGAATCGATCGTAAATGAAAAGCAACTTATGTGAGATACTCAAATTGTATGTAAAACACTTAATTTGCTAGAATGTCATAATTTTTTGCAATATTGCTCATCAAGCTTGAGCGTCTCCTAGAGAGAGAGTTATTTTGATAATTTAACAAAATTTTCAGATTTTATACGTGGCTAAATTTTTAGATACTCCAGCAAAACAGTTTTTTTCATGTTGCGAAACGAAAATTTATTTTCACGCATATAAAAAGTAAAAATTCACTGACGAGATGGATCGCACTTGCATCACGGAACATTTTTTCAGACGTAACAATTATTATTATTATTATTTTACTCTATACTGTATTATAATGCACTTTTATCTCGAGGTTACTTTTCAAGAGTCTGCATTTTTGACTAATACAATTTACAAGTTGTAAGAGAAAAAAATATCCATATGATGTTTCTCCATGGATTCGGTAAAGTGTCATAAGGCCGCAATGAGAATAACGGTGACGGCTGATTCACAAGCAGTCCGATGCTTTATTGGAGCCACCACGGTGGTCATAAATCACTGCACTCGTGTGCGGCGCAACGCGGTGCGGCGCGTAACGATGCATGAAGACGCGCATTCCCCGCGCTGGCAAAAATCGCTACCTCGCGGCCGAGATCTGTCACAATAAGTTACTTGCATCGGATATATGTCGGATCGGAATTAAATACAATTCTAATTCTTTTATTCGTTACTAATTTTAAATAATTTAATTTTTACAGAAATCTAGGACTGGCCAATTTAATTTGTAAAAGATAGTAATTACTTATTTATTTGAAGTACTAAAAGCACTCTGAGCAATAATGTTTTTAATACTTTTAATACTAAAAAATAATAATTTAGTAGCATTTAATATCTACTTATAATTCTTATATTAATTACTGTATTTCAATATTAAGACCTGATTTTATTAGAATCATGTTAAAAAAATTTTTTTTTAATTCAATACGCACTTTAATGAATAATAATTCATATTAAATGATTAATTATTTTTAAATTTTTCAAAACTATTCTTTCAATATACACATTATTATAATTATTATGTACATCAAATAATTAAATAATGTTGAAGGAATTAAATAACTGGAACTTCAACTGATGTCTTTAAATTTAATAAATTAGACGTACACAGATCTGAAGTTAATCGATAATAATTAATCGGTCAGTATTAAATTTCTGTAAGGGAAGTTAACATTTGTATATGTTTAAACTTTTCAGATAATTACAGACACACGATATTCTTCGTATTTATCTCAAGATATCAATTATTCTTTAAATTCTTTTAAGATATCTTGCACATTTTTTTCTACTAAAAAAATGTTATTTGTTATCATTTCCATTTATCGAAAAAGAGCATAACTTGCTACTTACTCTCGTGCAAGTACGCGGTACTTCGTAAAATCGCGCGCTCCATTAACAATTCGCGGCGTACGCGATTTTTTTATCATCTCATCCCTGATGGGAAATCCTGCGGCGAAATAGGGAGAGACCGACAGATTCAACGTGACATTACGCCGTTCTAAATGGGTGGATCGATGTTGCACGTGGTCGACTCGCGTTCCAAGCATGCGGCCGCATCTCGAGATTCTCGAGAAGGAAAGATCACCGCAGCGTTTGTTATGCAGGAACCGGTCCATGCCCTCTCGAAGATGTCGCACGTGCCTGATGTCTCTCTTTCTCTCTCTCTCTCTCTCTCTCTCTCTCTCTCTCTCTCTCTCTCTCCTTCTTCTTTCTTTCCCTCTTTCTTTTTCTCGCTTAGATCGCGCGCCGGGCCATAAATTTGTATGCACTACTGCGCTCGAACAAGCGCGCCCCCGAATCCTTTTCCGCCTTTGCTCCGCCGCACAACATTGTGGCCAGTATGGAACCACAAAGTATGCCGTTCAAGATAATAGACGAGTCACCGCGGATTCACGCAAGGGGAGATGTATGTTTATTTCCTTCCCTTCTAAATTCTCGAAAGAGAAGAAAAATCTCTTTCTCCTTTCCTTCTTTTCTTTACAAGATCTGCAAAATAAATTATCGAATATTAAGGCGAGCGATTGTTTAAATGTAAATTGTATAGTATTCTTTTTTTTTTAGAATAAGAAAAATTAATTTTGATAGAAAAATTTGGATGTTTAATTAAAATTTTAACGATTATTTCTGTTAAATATATTTTTAATTTTTTTTTTTTGCTAAAAATTATCGTAAAATAACGTAATTTTGAAATGTTACGTAGCGAGCGGTTGAATTTAGATTTCGTTTATATCTCGCAATGAAGTAATGATTAATTATTCATTAGTTAAATTTTAAACCGAGCTCTAAGCGGCTGCTACGTCAGATGTCAGTTTCCCAGATTATAAAATTCATTTTCCAAACCAGCGACTGCGGCGGTACATCCGCCGCTTTATTTCTTTGTGGCGCTGCAACTTTTAGCCAATACGATTGTGAAGTAACTATATACGACGAATATATTAATATACGAAAAAGTACATAAATTATACGAAATAATATATGAATATGAAATTTAAAACCTTAGAAATAGCAGAGATATTTTCTTCTCATTTGAAGCTGTATCGCCAGAACGTTCAACGTTGAATAATACAAGAATTACAAGCGTCTCGTCAGATCGCTACGAGGGAACAATTCATTTTAAATACACCCCGGAATCTGCGTGAGAAATTGCGTGAGTGTCAGGTCCGGGACACTCCGTACAGCGAACGCGACGCGGAAGCGCGGGAGGATACGGTAAAATCAACACAGAGGCAAGGCTGACCGGCTGGCAGGTTGTTTTAATTTCCCAAGCTACTTTCCGATCGTCGGTGGGAGCATGCCAGTCTGTTCCAAGATGGATGAACGACTCGGTATGTAGCGGGAGGGAGGGAAACGTGCGGATCGGGAAAAAAAAACGCCATGATTTTTACCCTTCTACCCGAATCTCTCGCAGCGCGAACGCGTTGTGGATATACACGCGAAATGCGGAGCTTGATAGTCACGCGATAATACGCGTGATACGTGACACGCGATCACGCACGTACTCTTTCAACGAATCACATTCAATTATTTCGCGCGGATAAAGCGATAAAAGAGTGTTTCGTGATAGCCTCGTTGATTCCTGTCTTATCAAGCCTTTTTCTGCGCAGCGAATTAACAAATTTGAAAAATTATGCGATAATAAGTCCTCGTAGAAGCTACCTTTTTTTTTTGTATATGAAATAATTTAGGCTTAGATAGGAAGAATTGCTTGGGGAGGAATCGATTAAATAACGCTGCATTTCAGAGAATTATAAGGGAGCTTGAAACTGTTCGTCTGTAATGTATATAATCTCGTCCTTAAAATTATCCCTTGCATACAATTTCTCGCGCTGAATCCGTGGATGTACGATTTAATCCGGTATACTTTGGCCATTCATGTACGCATCGGTTAGTTTGAATCCGGTGCTTGCAATTATTTATCTGCAAAAAAAAAAGAGAAGAGTCTCTTTTATTATTACCGTATTTCATATCGGGCGGTAATGTTTATGCAAATTTACGGGGAATTAACATTAGAGAAAATACATTAACGCTTTTATATGCGTTTCCGTGGGTACAAATCTGTGTCGTATTAAAATTAAGAGTATTTGCGAAAAAGTATTCGGTTTCTTGCGCCGAGCACGCGCATGAACAGATGTGAAAGAGAAACTCGGAATATTTTTTAACGCGTTTCAAATTAAATTGGAGCGCAGATTATAAATTTGACAAATATATTTGTAAATTTGCATGTGAATTTTGTTATTAAGATTTACTTCGATTGGAAATAGGATTCTTTCTCTTATTTGAAATATTTTTTAAGATACCAAAAAACAATCTACTGATTATGGAAATAAGTATTATGAACAGCTTTAAAATATTAGAATAGTGAAATTGTATGAGAGACAATAATTAAATAGAAATCATTTCTTCGCATATTTAACTCGAAAAGTTTAATAAATCAAGTAAAACATATTTTTTTGGAGGAAAAAAATCAATTTTGCTTTTCAACATATAGTCTTTTTTGAAGGTTAGTCATTTGGTGCCAAATTTGAAAGCACAGTTTCTCGAATCAATTGTTTCGTACAGAACATTCGTTGGAATTGAGTAATTTTGTATTCGCGGTGCAACGTAAAGCCTTAATGTAAAGAAGCTGATTGCATTGGATCAATTGATACACATCGTACCTTCAATTTCCACGACGCGGCGCCGCGAAATTTGAGTCTGGGAGGATTAATGGGAGTCTTCTCTCGCTTACGCTACTGTCCACAGCTGTTGCCCGTCTCGAAGGCGAGCGAAACGGAAAGAGTGAGACGCGCCACGTCGGGCGACAGACGCTTTCGGAGGGGTAACGAATTGCAAATTAATAGCGAGCATTTACATTTCTGCCGGCGCGATGAAGGCGCACGTGAGGATCGAAAGTCGCAAGCGCGACGGCTTGGTTTTCCGGTTTTCCTTTCACGACATCTTCTCCAAGTCTCGACGTAACTCGGCATCATATACATGTAAATCGTCGCAACTTCTTAAAAGATTTGTTTCTTAAAAGTTGTCGATTAAGAACTTGTATCTGGTAGATTAGCATTTTTACAATAGTCTCGTATATATTTTTGAAAAGTAATAAGTTGCTGTTTTAGAAGTAATTAGAAAACCTTTTCAAGATCACAACGAGAGATTTTTTTTCTTTGCAGTGTTTTGAAGATGTTCAGTATTATTAAATTGTTTGTCAATTTAATTTGTGATATTACGTACTTCAACTTCAGTTTAGTTTCCAACTGTGTTTCAAGACCGATAATATTAGCGCATAATTTGAACTAGAAGTTGTAAAATTTGCAAAAATATTAGAGATAAAGTCATGTTATCTTTTTTTAATTAGTTGTTAAGAAGAAGATAATGTAATCTTAGCATTCACCGTATCTGGATTTACGTTATTGCAAAAACTTCCTATTATTAGGCATCAGATTCATTTCGATCGAACATAAAAACTCTCTAATAAGGACAAGAACCGCAGTTTTATATATAAGGTAGTAGTTTTAATAAAATCGGCGAGAAAAGGGCATTCATTTTTTCTTTTTCTCATTCTATTCTAGTTTTTCTTATCTATTTTTCTCTCGCTTTCTCTCTCTCTCTCTCTCTCTCTCTCTCTTTCTCTCTCTCAGGAATTGTTAAAACATGGTGAACCAATCAAAAGTGACTTTCTCATGTCTAGACTCTTATTAGAGGGTTTTTAATCAAACATGGCCTTCTTCGTTCGTTGTGTTAATAAATTTATTCTTAGTATTTTTTAAGTGCACGATTGATGAGAAATATAAATTATTACATCTTAAATTAAAAAGAGAGAGAGAGAGAGAGAGAGAGAGAGAGAGAGAATGTATGCGTATTCGTGTTCTATTAAAGCATTAAATATGCTGGCTATATACTAAAAAAAACTTGATCTGCTTTAATTATTTTACTTACTTGAGAATATATTTTAATATTCTTGTCATCAATTATAAACAATTTATTGATTATTCGAAGAGTCAAATTAAATTTGATAAAGGAGCATAAAAATCATTTCGCAGGATATACGTGTAAGTGTGTATTAAACAATGCCTTCGTAAATATACATACGAGTATAGCAAACGTTTCAACCTTATATTAGGTAATCTTCAGTGCTTATAGAAAATTTAAATTATGTAACGACGCTGGTATATTCTCAATATATAAATTAACAATCCATTAATTTATAAAAATATTTAATTACAATATTAGTCCTATCGGAATTTAAATAAAATTCAGCTTATCTCGTGTTAGTTCCTCTTGCGGATGAATTAAAATATTCTTTAGAGTCCTACAGTGTATAAGAGAGTTGCTTTTCAAATTACAAATGGAATATTTGTTCGCATATTTGACGTTTGCTCCTGTAATTTGCGTAATGAATATTTGTGATCTCAACAATCTCATAGGATTTGGGCTTCCTGTGGGACGCTGAATTCACATAATTCGAGGTTCAAATATGCGAACAAATATTCCATTTGTAATTTGAGGAGCAACTCTTTCTCATACGCTGTAGGACTCTAAAGAACATTTTAATTCATCCGCAAGAGGAAGTAACGTAAGCTGAATTTTAAGGTTGAAACGTTTACTATGTGTCTATTTACGAAGAAATTGTTTAATACAAACTTACACATCCATCCTGCGAATTAGCTTTTATGCTCCTTTATCGAATTTAATTTTTGTTATCGTCTTCGATTATCGTTTCCAAGCAAAAATTTTTAGAACACCGTGGAACTGTCGCAAGTATTTTTGCACATATACATACGCGAATGGTCATCACGTCTACCTGGTCCGTCGATCGATGATCGTTAATTGCAAGTCGTGAAAACGAAAGAGCTCGAAAATAAGGGAAGGAAAAGTGGCGAGGGGCGAGCAGGAGGAGGTTGGAAGGTACCGATATTGAATTAGAAGCGATAAATCCCACCCTGCCATGCCGTCAGTATTGGGGCAAGAGAGGGCACGACGGAATAAGGGGCTCGACGAGAACTTTGACTGGGTGGTCGCGAGTGGCGGGAACGGCGATAAAGAAAGCAGTGAAACGAATATTAAAAGTCGAAACTGATGTGATCGAGCGAGCCAATCGGTCTCCAGTCCATGGGCGACCTGATTCAGGGAAAAACTTAACATACTTTCTTCTTCATTCCAATACATTAGACCTTTTTGATAAAAAATTGCGTCTACGGTTTTTGAAACAAACATTAAAGTAGACATTATTATAATAATACGTGATTTTTTTATAATTACAAAAATTTTAATAACATCTTATGTGGCATAATAAAAAAATATCTTGTATACCTTGATTATTACAAATCAAATCTTAATCTATTAAATACTACTTGGTTCTATCTGTAAAATAATTAATTGGAACTCAATAGATTACTGTACTGATTGGCCCAATAAGGCTTCGGCTTAGCACCTAAAATCTAAATAGTTCATCTGATGATCCTCTTGAAAATCTACAACTTTTATTTGAAACATTTTTTTTGTAAATACGAACATGTTTCTAAGCCGAGTACAGAATCCGTAGAATCCCAAGACCATCTAGAATACCCATTTTAAACGAGATTTTTTTAGTAACATTTGTTTTTTTTACGTCATTTTTGTGTGAGCGATTTTATTAGCAAAGAAAAATACACAGGTTTTTTTTTTTTTTTTTTTTTTTTAAAGAAAAGTCCAAATGTTTTGTATTTACGAGAGAAAAGGGATAGTTATATCGATTTATACGATGGAAAATGTGATAGAAAAGGATTAATGAGAGTACAATCCTTTTTGTGTTCGCAGAGCTGCGTGCAGTTCCTACGATCCAATGAGTCCGCCGTTCTTGAGGCTGTAGGGCTGGTACCGTCCGGCGAGTCCGTCGAGGTCTTTGGCGAGCATGGGGGTGCGAATGGGATCGGCGGTGGTAATCAGTGCTCCACTCATTACGCTATGCGCTCAAATTCTAATCCCGGCACCATTCAGCACACGGTGGGCAGCAACGCCGCGGGCGCGTTGCACCATTATCCCGGCGTTGCTCATGCACCGAAACGTCGTGCCTCCGACACCCCGTGAGTGTGAACACGCATCACCTTGTACTAGTAGATTGCACAGCAACGGTTCTCAATCAATTGAACAGATCGAAATTAATTAAATTAATTATTCGCCGCTCGATTAATTATATATTTTAGACGAAGTAAATGAACGGATTCAATTTGATTGGCTCGTTAATAGATACCGATAATTTCAATTTGAAGCCAATTATACGAGTCTATAGAGAATGCAATGTACGTTTATCGTGAGAAACTGCTGGTTTATTGAAACATATAGGTGATCTTAGGTATAACTTTTAAATAGTGTAATGATTTGGAATAATTTTTCACAATCTTATTATTTACAGTTTTGTTCTACAGGCTAATATTATCGTACTATATTTATGCTAAATCTAAATGTTGCAATTTTTTATAGTTGAGAGTTGAAAAATTTTTTTTAAAACTAATAAAAATTTTAGTGCGTCCCAAGGACGCATATATATATATATGTTTTTTTAGTGAAAAAATGTATTCCTGTTATGGATTTAAAAAGTAAAAAAAAAAAATAGTTTATTGCACGTATATTAACGTCCCAAGCTCGTATTGACCTTGAATTGAAATTATAATTAATTATATCATTATTCTAAATCCATTTCATGAAACTATGAATTGACAAACCTATCCTAATTCGTAACTAATTCATGACTGGTCATTTATTTGTTAGAATGCAAAGACCAAAATAATTGTAATTATAATACGTATATTAAAGATATAATAAACACGATTTTCTCTTTATAGATTATATAGATGAAAAAAAATATACGCAACGAATAGATGTATAAATTACTGCGCAAATTGTGTTCTTCACACGGCAAGATCGTGTGGAATCTTCGCTCGTCGATAACGATAATTCATACGATAATAAACGCCATGCAGCTGCGGCTGCGCGTATATACGCGTGTGTAATACGTTTGCCAAACCGCAAATGCCGTAGTTTCGGAAAAATCTTGGCCACCGGCCTGAATATCTCGCCGATATTTATCGCAATCGAATACCCATTAATACGAACCTGATTCCGCATGTTCAACATTTCGTTAATATTGATAATGCGCGTGAAAGTACCCCGAAGTCTTAAGAGATCTCGGTAAATCCAAATAAAAGTGATTTATATGTAGATTCGTATATTTCACTTTTATCGATAATGCACCAATTTAGCATATAATTTACATATACTATAAAATCTTTAAAATAAATGTACGCATTTATTGATAAAAATAAGGTGTGAGTACGAATCGTACAGTAAGGTGTGCTAAGCTTCCAAGTATTTTAAAAATTGATTCTTTAATAAATATTCAGATTATATTTTTGTTAGTATTTCAAACTATTAACTTTGTCTCCAATCATATTTTTACTCTCTTCTATAACTCGGATTTTTTTTATCTAGCCAAGTTATTTTACTGTTCTAGGCTTTTAGAAAATGTGGAATAATTATTTTTCTCACATCTCTATTACATTATTAAATAGGTTTTTTTTAACAAACGTTAAAACTTTTAATACTTTTGTAATCAAAATTGACATTTGAGTAAAAATGGAGAAATTTCAGAATCAAATTTTGCTTGTGACAAGAAAGACCCAAATTATAGCCGGAGGGTGAATAGTTATCGAATTGTAAGCCGTCGCTTACGAATAGAAGAAGAAGAGTAATTTCGATCGAGATTTCTTAATGCGCACTTGTTCTACTTGCCATCCAACCGAGGCGTTGATGAGATCGACGCCGGACGATCGGGATTTCCGGTCAGGCTGATATGTACGTAGATGAAGTAGAAGGGAATGGGGCGCCACGAAGCGAATACGAAGGCGACAAAACGCGGTGCGCGCCCTGGCAATGCCATCCTGGCCTCCTCTCGATATATCTGTCGGTGACGTTTCCATATATCATCAGGGCACAACCTTTCCCAAACATCCCACCGTGCCCCACGAGTGCCGACGAACTTGCTTGGAGTACCTATTGGCATCCTGCTAATACACACCGTATAGCAGCGTACACGTGTGCTCGACGAGCGTGGGTGTACGCGTAGACAGTCGTCTTTGATTCGCAGGCAACCCTCGCACGAACTACGAAATGCCCAAACAATTCGCCGTGTAAAAGTAAAAGCGTTCTATATATGTATAACCGACAATATCGGGGCTGAGCAAGTTGAAGAAAGTTCGCTTTTGGATGCGTGAAAGATATGATAAATCACACCGTCCTTTAATCTTTCTGGTATTATCAATTAGTGTAGGGCAATAGTTTTAGCAATTAAAGTGTCAATTTTTACAAAGCGGAAATGTCACTATATAGGCGTTGAAATAGTGTCTTAACTTGAGGCAACAAGTACGATGAAATAATAAATTATAACAAATTTTACTTAAGGAAAAGCTGGAATATTTAAAAAACAGATAAAGATTAATCTTATCAAATTTAACACGTGGCATTAATATAATGGCATTAATTTCCATTTCTTTTCGTTGATGGATCTTCTGCGCTTCTAGGTACTACGAGAACGGCGTTCTTATGGACGATATGCCAGTATACGGCAAGAGGTCTATCAATCCTTGGAGCCACCACCAACAGCAGCAGCAGCAGCAACAGCAACCAACGGACCCGTCCTATTGCTGGTACCATCCGTTGCACTCCTCCGGCGGATCGATCCAAGGTCACGCGCACGGCCACGGTCACGGGCCGAGCCCGGTGCCGCCTAGTCTCGTGCAGATTAATCAGATAAACGCGTTCTCCGCGCCGCATCATCTGACTCAGCAGCCACAACAATCATTAGGTCATGGTTTACAAACGCAGAATGGCGGCAGCCTCGACGACGAATGGAAGAATATCCATGTGATGCTCAATTGCATCCTCGGTATGGTCGAGAAGACGAAGAGAGCATTGGCGATCCTTCAGCGACGAGGATGTTCCAGTCCGGCGGCCGCGGCGCCTCCACCAGGTGTAGTCGCGGCGCAGAATGGTACCAGCAATAATGGCAATAGTAACGGCAATAATCCGTCTTCGACTAACGGTGTGCAAGTAGAATCGTCCACTGGCGATCGGGATGGTGGTCTAAAGCGATTGTCCGGTGAGATTGTTGCGCAAACGATCAGGGCGACTGAAGACAGGGTGGCCGAGGTCAAACGAAGAGCTGGTAGGTTTTGATGAAGTACGATAGTCGTGAAAATTTTTAACTCTCCGGAACTGACGACGAGTCTATTTGATTCATTCAATTAGAAATGTTTTTGTTAAAAATGTTAGATAAGTAAATTTTTTCATGTTACGTCTGTGGATTATTTTTATTAAAATATACTATTTTTTTTTTCTACGAGTTATGTCATTTTGATTCCTTGAAATTAATTAGTGCCTTGATTAACATAAATTAAATAGCTTTTACAGATCCAGCGTTAGTAACTGTGTTAGATGTGCAGATTTCAGTTGGAGAGGATTAACTTTATTATATCAGAAAGTTTTGTTAAGTAATTGCTTAAATTTTTTATAAAATTATTGGATAGATCGTTGTCATCGTGACTGTCCGAATTAATTATTTTAGAAACAATTGAATAGATTTAATTTGGATTATAAACAGATAACTATAATTTCACTACAATTTAATACATAATTTAATTTTGTAGATGATATTAAAAAGATTATTTGAAAATGTAATAATTAAATAAGACGGTATTAAATAAGGATAATTGAAAATGGTCTCACGGGAATTTCTAGAGGAAGCTGTGTTAGAAGTGAAAAGGGCTGCAGTGGCGGAGGTGCAACGTGCCGTAGCGGTTGCGGTTGCGGAGTCGAGAGCGAACGAACGTTTGAGGGTTCATCGATTACTGGATCTTCCTCTGTCCCAAAGAAATCCGGGCAGTCTCCGTCAGGGCCCTTTCCTGAGAATTCACGGGAACTCGACCGCAGTTGAGGCCAGTACCAGGAACGTTACGACGCCGACGACGACACCGAATTCAGCGCCATCGACCACTGAGGACGAAAAAGATATTCACCTCACTAGTATGATGGGATCCGTAAGTGTAACCGTGTGATTAATTCATTTGCAAGAATCTTAAAATGCTGATTATGTGTTTAAATTTACAATATATCTTTCTCCTTTAAGTGAGGAAATACATTTTTATGTTAATAATTAAACGACAAAATAAACACAACTATGATTGTATAATTGTCAGTATTATAGTAACGTAAAAATGGAGTAACTTTTGTTCAAATTTTGATCATTTTCAAACACCGCATGCTAAGATCGAAATGTTTTATGACACACCTAATTTTGGACATGCATGCAACTATCTAGACATTTTTTTTTTTAATTTGGGCTAAAATTACTTTGTCTGGGTCAAAGTTACTTTATTTTACGTTATATAATCAGTTTTTCCATTTTTTTTTTAAAATCCCACAATAGGTATACATTTGATATGCAGTTCATATTATTTAATATTTTATACGTTTTTTCTTGGATCTTATTGTTACCTGAGTTAGAACTAAACTATTTAAATAGAAACTAGCCGAGTTAAGAGCGCACGAATCCTCATCTCTTTTTTCAGAACTGTTGGAATTGTGGCAGGCCCGCCCTGGAGACCTGCGGTGGATGCGGGATCGCTAGATATTGCGGCTCCTTCTGCCAACATCGTGACTGGGAGGCTGGCCACCATACAACTTGCAACAACCTACCGCCGCGCGAATCGCGAAGATCAGCCTCACGCAGTCCACCAAGGATCGCCGCCACGAATCTCTCTACGAATATCAATGAGGTCGACGCCACGCCGGTGCCGTCTGCTGGGGTCTCAAAGGGGAAGTGACGTCGCAATGCTAGGAGCAATCAGCGAGCCAGAGCAATCGATTACGAATCACGCTGATCGCGTTTCCTACAAACACTCTCCTCTGTAAAGAATGTGTGAATTGAAATGAAGCAAGAGGAACTCACTCCTGTGAAATCGAATGCCTGATCCTCGAAATTTGAGATTGGCTTGAAACTGTTGGGATATTCGTTTGTCCTTTCCGCTTTCCGATTATATCTCCGTGAGAATTAAGACGAAAGAAAAGAGTCAATTCCGAATTTGGATAATTAGGTATTCACACATTCACAAGATAAATTCCAGCGCCCATTCTTTTTAACTCATTCATCTTCTACAGTGTTTTCGCCGATCATACATCTTCTGCGTACACTTTCCTTTCCGTGAAACTGGCCGGAGATTTCTTTTGTACTATATCTGGATACGTGGGCGAGTATGAATAAGAATTACTCTGATCCAACATATTTATGAAAAAGTTGACTATACGCTTGTCAAGAATACCTGAAAACTGGATTAACATTGGAATCGAACTAGTTCGATGATCAGTTTATTCGCTGGATAGATCTCCAATTCCGGCGTTTCAGTCAATTCAAAATATGCGGTAACATATGAAGTTTACGATTATTTAACCAGTTAAAAAATGCGAATATGGGCTGATATTTATAGGCAGTTCTTATATTTAAGACTATCCTAAATACAATCTTAAAATATTGTTAATCACAGAGTCATCATTATTAATCTCTTAAGATATTATTTAAAACGATCTTAAATAAGAGCGGACTATGAATACCGGCCATCGATCAACAAATTTGATGTTATTCATCTTTGGAGATTATATAAACCCTTCGGTAACGTGATTGTCCCTTTAAAGGCCTCGTCGATATTTTTTTATTGTGGATTCTGATAGATTATTTAAATCTTAATAAAAATTAATAAAATGCAATCTTAGTAAACATTAATAAAATGCAATCCGACTTCTATGATAGTAAACGAAAATCGATGTTAAAGCTTTAACAAGTATATCAGAATTTTTATACACGAGAAATAAAAAAATTCGCTCCGTTTCTCGAAGATTTTTACTGTTGATGGAAGATTTAACATTTTATGTTGCGGAGGGTTGAAAATTAAAATAACGTTACTCGAATAATATGTACGCGAAAGTTCAAAAGTCCAATAAAGGATGGAGTATCTTAAGAAAATTTGTGTTGATCGAACACGTTAAATAATTTTAACAGTTTATTTCGGTCAGCTAATGACCAAAAATAGTCAATGTTAAAAATGCACAGAAAAGCAAGTAAACTTCTTAAGATAATTAGATTATTTCTCTAGATAACTAGATTATTTGAGTGAAACGTCGGATATATGTGACAAATCCGTTTTAAGATTTTATCAATTAATGATACAAAACGAACACTTGATTTCACAAGTAGCGTAATCGATCACAGCGTTTTTCCGGATAACAAATAACGCCGTTGAAGTATGCATAGTATTGTCGTAAATGTACACGTTTATCAGAATCGTGCCAGAATCGTTCTCCTTTTTCTCCTCCACCGAGAATCGCAGAGATTTCCAATCCATTTATTATCTAGGGTTAAACCAAACAAAATAGAAATAATGCGTGTCTTAAACAATCTCTGCAATTGAAAGAGTAATAGATAACCGTGAATCCGATCAATGAATCGCAGATGTGCGTTTCGCATTGTTCTGAATTGATATTATAGCGGTAAATGTAGCATTATGAAAATATCTCCCATTAGCGTAGACGTTTCTTCATTTCGCCGTTAACCAGTTAAATTCCTCAAAGCGGAGTTGAAAAAACACACTCATCCAATTAAGGATTACTTATTTGGACGCGATTTAGAAAAATGCATTGCTCATTCGAAGCTGTTTAATGAACGTAAAATTTTTACTATTCTCGATATCGGTTGAATCTATGCATAAAATTATAATGTTGCACACGTTAGTTTCTCTTCTTCTCTTCTTCAAACGATCGAATAATATGTGTTCTCTCACATTGATGTAACTTTTTACTATATCTCGATATTACACCGCAGAATATCGTTATGAAAATAATATGTATTGCAAGATGAAGTTGATATATACATGCACACAACAAACATAGTTACAGTATACATAAAGTGATTTGATTTTATTATGTGTCTACGCTCATCTCGATGTTTCGTACATGAAGAACGAATCGCATCGATTTTATCCTAGTCAATTGATAGGTTTAACGATTGTAACGATTATAATGTAACTTGAGAAGTCTCGAATCTTTTACTTTGCGCGCACGCATCTCAGGCATATGATTATCACGTATATTTAAGTCTAGTCAACACGGGAAGATGAAGTGGATTTATCGGTCATACGCGTTAGGGAACTTTGCTCAAATCTAGACTACGAATTATTGTAATTTTTCCTAGGCACATTACGTTGCGGGGATGTATGATGGATCCTATAAAGTGTATTTATAAACTAACGAAATATATGATTATTCTATGTCAGAATATAAGAATACAATACCAGTAGATTTTTTATTATACCTTACAATTATATTAGAGGAAAATTGAATGTGAAACTTTAATTGGATAAATATATTAAAATTGCATATGCTCTTATTTTTTTTTTGTAAAAGACATAATTAATATTCTATAATTTGTGATATACAATATAATTTGCCATTTGTTTAACAAACATGTCTACAAAATGGGATTCTCTCAAAATGAATCGGAAATTAAAGGCCCTAAATGTTCAAGCTGGATCTTTAGTGCTGAAATAATTCTGTGTGAATTTATATGTACAATCCCTCAAACGCTGAATTTATTTTCAGTCTTGAAATGCAATTCTATAATTAAATTGCTTGTCAATTTTATAATTAAATTGCATTTCAATCTTCAAGATTGTTATTCAATAACAATCTTATTAAGAAATTATTGTTTTCTATATGAAATCTATTTGTTTTCACACAGAATTTCAGCACTAAAGATCCAGCTTGAACATTAAAGGTCATTTAGGACCTTTATTTCCGATTCATTGTATAGTCATATACAATATTTATATCTTATAAAAGTTATAAGACACTATTCTGTCAAAATGATACATATTGCGATATGAAATTATTACATTAAATAAATTTTTATTCCTCAAAGGTCTTTCCAATAATATTTGCAAACATTGTTTTAGTCTTCTCATCTTTCTCTTGTAATTGCGACCATTCCTTTTTATCTCTCGCGAACAAGGGGACGTTTAGTTTCATGGAAATAATCTTGCCCGATTTCGTAGAATTTAAAGATTGCCCAGCCGCAGCCAACTCCTCCATAATAAGAATTTTTTGATTTATGTGTGCCCATGCCCATATTTTATCCACGCACCTAGATCCATGTGTACTTTTAGCTAATTCTTCCCAAGTGCCGTGCAACTTCTTGCATAATTTTTCCCTGCTCTTCTCGCCGACATATTTGCTGTCCATGAAAGCATCCAGGATTCGACTGCCTTTCGGATCGCCAAATAATTGTAATAACTCTTCGTTATTCATTTCTAACAAAGAATTCACAGCTTTGATTGGTTTGTTGAACTTCAATATGGCCTGTATTATTAAACTTCCATGTAAACAGGGAGATAGTTGTGAATTATTTGATTGAACCTTCAGTTGAGAGGGTTTCTTTAAAGTTACTATACATCGTACAAGCTGCGTTTGATTTTCTGAGGATGCGCCACATTTTAGTATATCGATCATTGCATTGACAAATGGACCTTGTTTTATCTGTAACCTCAAGCATGCATTTCCCGCGCTGACTAATATTCCGGTAAAACCAAGTTTGAGAATTTTTGGAAAGTGTTCTATTACTTTGTCAAATATTTCTTCAAAGATTTCCTTAGTAACACAATAATCTAATAACTTTTGCACGCTGAAATTGGTGTTTTGCGTTGAACACAAATATTCTAAATTTTCAGCAAAAAAGGTATTATATAATTTTTGGAAGGTTTTTGGCTGTCCCACTACCAGACACGCTTCCAGTATCCTGATAGAATATTCTGAATGAAATATGTTTGGTAGTTTCTCATCTTTTCCTATTTTAAAACATTTGGTTCTAATCTTTTTGATGATAGTTTTCACTAAATTTAAATCAACATCTTTTAGAGAATACAAAATACATTGTATTAAACCGGAAGTTAATTGGTCTCGTCCAAATTCACAGAATTGTGGCCATTTCTGTAATCGATCGCAACACTGTATCAGCAAGTCTTTATATTCCTGTATTACAGGACGTCTATTTGTGAGATCCGGCATGGCAGACTTCTTACTGCCTTCGCCAGGATCCTCAATTAATCCTGCTAGACATTCTATGACTGTTCGCAAGACGTGATTAGCATAAATGTCAAATACAAACTCCTCACTATTATTGAGAACATATTTGCTCAGCTTTAGAACAATATTGTTGTAAGACTGCACTTCAGATGGCTCAATATCCATAACAGTGTCAACAGCGTTCTTCAATTTCATATTTGTTTTATCGCCAGCAGCATTCTTTGCGTTTGATGCAGAGTCTCTGTTGCCTCTGTCAGCACAGACTATTATTATCCTCTGTAAAATATGACTGGCGAATCTGTCGCTGCTCAATCGCCTCAGAGATGACTCCAATGCCTGAGTCAGCTTTTGAATGGCCTCCAAGTTAGCGTACTTCAGCAGAGAATCTATAATGCGAGATCCAACTTGATTACAGGCACATACGATCTCACGACCAGATATCTCCTGGTAGACGTTCTGTGCGAGCATGATCTTCTCCTCGGTCGAGGGCGAATCATTACGTACTAACTCAAGAATTCGAATTAGATACAGGTAGGTATCTTTGTCCAAGTCATTGCCAAAGTTTCTCTGACGGGCAACTTTCTTCGCCATTTGTATGTAAGAACGTTTCTTCTTTCGTTTCTTTTTGTTGACCTCATGTACTTCCGCCATGCTGTCTGTTTTAATATTAAATTTAATAATATAAAATTAATATCAGAAGAATTAAACTTAGAAGAAATAATTTAGATTAACTTATAGCGAATTCACTTGTATTACTCCGGATTAATGCACACTAAAAACTGCTGTACACAAAATTAATGAAGTTGAAAAATTAAAGATAAAGAGTGGACTAATGAGAGTAAAGCGCTATAAGTATTGCATAAATTTATATATGTAAATTTCGATTTATTTAATTTGGACGTTTCAACTCACACATTCGAGTTATCTTCAGCAATAATCACACAACAGAAATCAGTTGAATCCTTGCTGAGAGAATCCTATTAGCCATCATACATGTAATTGTTGCACATGGTTGATAAATTTAGTGGGAGCCGTAACAAGACTGATAATCGTTATACTGATAAAGTAATGTAGGAAATTAAAATTACAATTGTACGTAAGTAAATAAGTCTCATGAATATTAATAACTCACCCCAAGGATCCAAAAACAAGAGACTTAAAGAGATAAAATCCGCAGTACATATTAGATGCATAATAATCACGATTTCAATTGGTCGAATGTTAAAATTTTACACACTAAACCTTATATTTAAAAACTATTGCTGAAGATGACTCGAATGTGAGTCGAAACGTCCAAATTAAATAAATCGCTCTTTGTCTTACTTTTTTAATTGTTTTAATGAAATTAAATGTAAAAGCATATAAATATTTTAAATTAAACGTTCACCATTATTATTAATATTTTAACCAGTATATCAGCATATTTTAAATCATTGATTGTATCCAATAACTGTCATTATTATTTAACAGAACTGTAGTGTTATTTAATAGAATATATTATTTCACGTTTTATAACAGAATGCATTGTTTCATTAAAGTTGATCATATTATGCTACTACATT